ATGAAAAAGAATATGAAAAGGAATATATGTATGCCCACGTATGACTGAAACATTATGCTGTACACCAGAAACTGACACAACATTGTAAACTGACTATACTACAGTTAAAATTTTTTTAATTAAAAAAAATAAAAGGGGTAGAAACCAAAGGGACAGAACCAGGAGGTGATTGGCAAATAGATTTTACTGTTATGCCAAGAGCCATGGGAAATTAGAAATACCTGCTGGTATTTGTGGACACCTTCACAGGATGGGTAGAAGTTTTTCATGCCAGACAGAGAGCTTCCAACGTAACAAAGTCCTTACTAAAAGAAATAATCCCTCATTTTGGGTTACCAGTTTCAATTCAAAGTGACAGCAGAGGAGCTCGCACAGCCAAGGTAACTCAAGAGGTGTCTGGGGCCCTTGGAATATGATGGAAATTACATGCGTCATAGAGATCTCAGTCTATAGGAAAACTGAAAACATAAATCATACCTTAAAGAGACAATCGCTATAATATGTCAAGAAACCAACTTAACCTAGGATAGGGTCTTACCAATTGCTCTGCTTAGAGTAAGAGCAGCCCCTAGAAGCAAGCTCCAATTGAGCCCTCATGAAATGCTGTATGGGAGACCTTCCTTAAAACTAAGTTTTATTGCAGTCTTGAAACTGATCATATTATAAAAGAATTACATACTATAAAATATGCATAGTTTCTAGGTGTTACTTTATATGCTTCTAGTCAATGTTTCTTACAGACGTTCCCCCACACTGCATAAATAAGGTCAGGGGATTGGGTTCTCCTCAAAACTTGGAAAAATCAGCCTAAATGGAATGGCCAGTTCCCAAATAGCACACTCTCCATGGATAGGAGGAAATAGGAGGACTCAACCATCGTAACATCATAGGGAAACCTACTATCAATTTCTCAGCCCCTAATTACAGTTGTAAACTCTTAACTGTCTTTAAATTACTTTCCAAAAAGAAACAGGACAGCTAAGACCCACCTTGGCCAGGAAGAGAAGACTGTTTCTCCCCAAGAGTCTAGACCAGGCCTATATAAATCCAAATTAAATCACTAAAAATGTTTTTAAAAAAATAACATGTTTTTCATGGATTCCCAAATGAAGAAGGCCTGTTAAAATTAGCACCCCAATGTTCATAGCAGCACTATATACAATAGCCAAGACATGGAAACAACCTAAATGCCCATTGGCAAAGTACTGGATAAAGAAGCTGTTGTATATTTATACAATGGAATTCTACTCAGCCATAAAAAATAATAAAATAATGCCATTTGCAGCAACATGGATGGCCCTGGAGAATGTCATTCTAAATTAAGTAAGCCAGAAATAGAAAGAAAAATACTATATGATATCACTCATATCTGGAATCTAAAAAAAAGAAAAATGAACCTATTTACAAAACAGAAACAGACTCACAGACATAGAAAACAAACTTATGGTTACCGGGGGGAAGGGATAAATTGGGAGTTTGTGATTTGCAGATATTAACTAATATATACAAAATGGGTAAACAACAAGTTCATGCTGTATAGCACAGGGAACTATATTCAATATGTTGTAGTAACTTATGGTGAAAAAGAATAAGAAAATAAATATATGTATGTTCATGTAAGACTGAAGCATTATGCCATACACCAGAAACTGATACAACATTGTAAAATGACTAAACTTCAATAAGAAAAAAACATATATATACAGAAAAAAAAGAAGTCATAGTTCTGTGTATCTTAGGGTTAATCCTTTTACTATTTATCGAAGAACTAGAGCAGTCATCGCCCTATTTCCCTCAAGATTGAGGGATGTACAGAGGAAAAAGGGAGGATTTGAAACAGCATGTAAAACACTGACCAACTTAAACTGGCTTGGCTTCCTTAAAATACATTGTTGATGAACCAAACCTGGAGTTTCTTTACAGAGACAGCGCTGTGCACATGCAAGACAGGAATCCATGTCTCCAGGATGACCCCAGAACCAAGAATCTTCATTGTACAGAACTCAAAGAATAGAAATGTTGCCTCCAGAGCCCTTTACGAAGTGAGAAGTCCTTCGGTAAGGAAAATCTGGCTTCCAGCAGTACAAGTAGCTTTGAGACAAGCCAATCAGCTTATTCAACTAACCTCTTAAATTTCACCCCAACCTTGGATCGAGGAGACAGATTTCAGAGCCTTGCCTTCTGTTTCCTTGCCAGTCGACCTTGCAATAAAGCTTTCTTTCTTCAAAAGCTAGTGTCATAGTATTGGCTTCTGTGTGCATTGGGCGGCGAGCCCTTGCTCGATAACAGACACATGGTGATACACATACATCAACAGACACAGATACACATTTACCCGTTTCATCACAAATTGGTTTATCTTATACTATAGGTCGCCAAACTGTGGCCTGCAAGCCAAATCCAGCCCACCATCAAACCATGTGTTGTTTTGTAATTTGTTAACGATTATTTTTAGAGCAGTTTTAGACTCACAGCAAAATTGAGAGAAAGGCACAGAGATTTCCCACACATTCCCTGGCCCCACCTATGCATAGCCTATGCCACCATCAGCATCCAGTAGCAGAGTGGGACATTTGTTACAACTGATGAACCTACATTGATATAATCACCTCAAAGCCATAGTTTATATTAGGGTTCATTATTGGTGGTGTATATTCTATGGGTTCAGACAAATGTATAGTGACATGTATCCATTATGATAGAAACCTACAGCTTTCACTGCCCTAAAAATCCTCTTCACCTATTCCCTCCTCCCTTCTCAACCACTAATATTTTTACTGCCTCCATATTTTTGAAATTGAGATATAACTGACATATACCATTACATTAGTTTCAGGTATACAACATAATTTGATATTTGTATATATTGTGAAAAGATCACAATTAGTTAACATCTGTTACCATACACAGTTACAAATTTTTTCTTATGATAAGAACTTTTAAGATTCAATCTCTTAACAACTTTTGAATATACACAGTATTATTACAGCATTATTAACTATAGTCACCCTCCTGTACATTACAACCCATGACGTATTTGGAAGTTTGTAATTTTTTACCATCTTGACACATTTTGCTCACTCCCCACCTCCTGCCTCTGCTCTGGCAGCTACCATTCTGTTCTATATATCTATGAGTTTGGTTTTTGTTTTGGGTTTTTTGGTTTTGGTTTTAGGTTTCACATATAAGGGAGATCATATGTCATATGGTATTTGTCTTTCTCTGATTTATTTCACTTAGCCTAATGTCCGCCAAATCCATCTATATTGTCACTAATGTCAAGATTTCCTTCTTTGTATTGCTGAATATTGTTCCATTGTATATATATGCCACATTTTCTTTATCTATTCACCTATCAATGGACACTTAGGTTGCGTCCATGTCTTGGCTATTGTAAATAATGCTGCAATAAACATGGGAGTGTATATATCTTTTTGAGTTATTGTTTTCATTTCCTTTGGATAAATACCTAGAAGTGAAATTGCTGGATTATATGCTAGTTCTATTTTTAACTTTTTCGAGAACCTCCATACTGTTTTCCATACTGGCTGTGCCAATTTACAATTCCATCAACAGTGCACAAGGGTTTCCTTTTCTCCACATCCACACCAATACTTGTTATTTCTTGTCTTTATGATAATAGCCATTCTAACAGGTGCGAGGTGATATCTCATGTGGTTTTGATTTGCATTTCCCTGGTGATTAGTGACGTTAAGTACCTTTTCATGTACCTGTTGGCGATCTCTATGTCTTCTTTGGAAAAATGTCTATTTAGATCTTCTGTCCATTTTAATAATCAATTTTTTTTTGCTATTGAGTTGCATGAGTTCTTTATGTTGGGTATTAACCCCTTATCAGATTTATCATTTGCAAATATTTTCTCCCATCCAGTAGGTTGCCCTTTCATTTTGTTGATAGTTTCCTTTGCTGTTCAGAAGCTTTTTAGTTTGATGAAATCCCACTTGTTTATTTTTGCTTTCCTTGCCTTTCCTTTTGGTGTCAAATTCAAAACACCATCACCAAGACCAATGTGAAGTTTTCTACCGATGTTTTCTCCTGTGAGTTTTATGGTTTCAGGGATTACTTACGTTCAAGACTTTAATCCATTTTGAGTTGATTTTTGTGTAAAGACAGTGGTCCAGGTTCATTCTTTTACATATAGTGTCCAGTTTTCTCAACACCATTTTTTGAAGAGGTTGCCTTTTCTCCATTGTATATTCTTGGCTCCTCTGTCCTAAATTAATTGACCATATATGTGTGGGTTTATTTCTGGGCTCTATTTTGTTCCATTGATCTAGGTGTCGTTTTTATGCCAATACCATACTGCTTTGATTACTGTTTCCATATTTTTGTCTTTTCTAGAATGTCATATAGTTGGAATCATATACTATGTAGCCTTTTTAGATTGGCTTCTTTCACTTAGTAATATGCATTTAAGTTTCCTCTATGTCTTTTCATGGCTTGATTGCTCATTTCTTTTTAGCACTGATTAGTATTCCATTGTCTGGATTTACCACAATTTATTTATCCATTCACCACTGAAGGATATCTTGGTTGCTTCCAAGCTTTAGACATTGTGGATAAAGCTGCTATAAACATCTACAAGCAAGTTTTTGTGTAAACATAAGTTTTCAACTCCTTTCAGTAAATAGTCAGGAATGTGATTCCTGGATCATGGTAAGAGTATGTTTAGTTTTGTAAGAAACCACTAGAATGTCTTCCAAAGTGGCTGTGACCATTTTGCATTCCCACCAGCAATGAATGAAAGTTCCTTTTACTCCATATCCTAGCCAGCATGTACTGTTGTCAGTGCTCTGGATTTTGGGCATTCTAATAGGTAGGTAGTAGTTTCTTATTGTTGTTTTAGTTTGCATTCCTTGACGATGTATGATGTGGAACATCTTTTTGTATGCTTATTTGCCATCTTTTTATCTTCTTTGGTGAGGTGTCCGTTAAGGTCTGTGGTCCATTTTAAAAATTGTTTTATTTTTTCCCTCTAACAGAGGCACTGGGGATTGAACCCAGGACCTTATATACACCAAGCATGCACTCTACCACTGAGCTATACCCCCATCTCCCTGTGGTCCATTTTTAAATCAGGTTATTTCCTTACTGTTAAGTTTTAAGAGTTCTTTGTCTATTTTGGATAACAGTCCTTTATCAGGTTTATCTTCTGAAAATATTTTCTCCCAATCTGTGGCTTGTCTTCTCAGTCTTTTAACATCATCTTTCACAGGGCAGTTTTTAATTGTAATGAAACACAGTTTATCAATTATTTCTTTCAAGAACCATGTCTTTGGTGTTATTAAATGGCTTACAGAGACATAAACTAGGTTTATTTGTCTGAATGCTAATTATAATATTGGTCTTCATTTCAAGTGAATTTTCATCTGATCTGCTGATCTCAGGGGAAAAGAGAAGTCTACTTCCCAAAGAAAGAAATCTGTCAGTATGTTCTTATTCAGACCATTGTTACCTTAATTGAAAATATTTAACCTGTAAAATGAGCCAGCTCACATGACTACACATTTCACATGATGGGAAGATTGAATTTTTTAGGAAAGTGGCCAAATCGGTTCAAAATATCTTATATATCAAAGCAGACTGCTTTTTGGTTTGCTCTAACGCCAGGCTTCTTGGGTTAAATCCCATTTCCAACGTTTACATGTTAAATGATCTTGGGAGCCAACTGGAAAAGGATCCCACAGGCCAAATATGGGATAAGAGGAGCATCGATAAGAATCATTACTGCTTATGATAAATTTTAAGCACCAAATATGTCTAAATCCAGGATTTCATATTTAAAATATCTAAGAAGATATGTGAAAAATCTTCTTAGGAAGATGTTTGGAAAACTGATAGTTAAAGTGAAAGAGAGAAGCAGTTATCCTGACTTCCTATTCAAACTCCTACCTCAGGTTAACCAAAGCCTCTAGAACTATCAATTCAGAGGGAACAGCAAGGGAACATACTAAAGGACATCACAGGGATTTAATTGGCAAAACCTTGACTCTGGAGAAGTCTATGGGGCAACTGACCAAGTTTTTTAATAAATAATTTTCAAGAAAAAAAATCAGAGAGGGAACCTAGAGATTAAAAGGAACTTAAGAGACCTATTAACAAACTGTGAAACAATTATGTATAGAGACGCTTGGGGCACATTGTTTGTACACTTCACATCAGCTCTTTCTTATACTCTAGCCATTGCTGGATTCTAAGGCTTGTGCTTTTAATAACCCTTAGGCTGCTCTGCTACTATTTTGTAAACTCTGTGTATCTGTGGATAAAGAGTACTAGAGAGAAGTCCGCTGATAGTAAGGTGAACTCCTTACCTTTTGGTCTCAGTTCAGTAATATACAAGGTACTTCTGGTGGTGCATGGGGGCAGGGGGAAACTTTTCTTCCAACCAGGAAGATTGCTTATTAAGGAATGTTTTTATTCTTCAGTGACTCAGGAAAGGGGATCATCTGTCTTTATCTTTGGATTGTATTTAACTTTTGGGCTTTCTGTCAACCAACAACTTTGGCATTTTAAAAGGATTTTAGGACATTAGAATCTTCCTAATCCTCCTGCCCTCACAGTTTTCTTTTCATTCTCTTGGAGATAAGACACTCTTTTAGGCATTTAATTCTTTTCCTTTCAGCAATTTCTCTTGGAGGCATATTTTACATGTAAAGATTTGTGTTTATTTTTCTACAAATGCCATATAACCTGTCAGGTGTTTACTCCTGAGCCATGAAATTATTATTTTTGAGACTATCTTGACTTCTCCAACTAGCCTCAAAAAAAGGTTAGGTGATCTTGGTTAGCACAGGCCATGGGATTGATGCTTAATAAGGTTCATGAGTCCCCAAGGGTGACAATTTCCTGCAACCTGATGTGCTAGACATCTTCAGGGAAGGAAAGAGAGAGGGAAAGGGAAAGGATATAAATGATCCCTAGCTTCTTGAGGTTTGGCCAGTTATCTGAACAGGATGACTTTTGGGGGTGGGTGGTAAGCAGGTCATGGCTTTTGTGGTATGAGTTTTAGCTTCCAGTAAGGCTTCTTACCCCTACCTCACAACACAAAGGATCACATGATACAGTCTCATCAACTAAAGATGCCATGTTTGACATAGAAGATATAGTATTTGGTCATCTTTTTCTTCATTAACAGCAATATTTGATAAAAGAGGAGAAAGCACACTGGTGAGTACTTGAGGTGACTATGATGGTTCATACTGAAGAGACAGAGGATTCCTAATGCAGTATTTTTGGGCATAAGGTAGCATTTCCCAGAGTATATATTTGGGAAACATTTGGTCTGAGACACATTCATCTTTTTTAAAAAGGTATATGATTAATTAATTTTGGAAAACACTGTATTATGACCCATCTCCTAGAGATTCACAGTACACATTATCACATTAAGGCTCTAAAAAGTACCACAATAAAAAAGCAAACTAAATGGTGTCAACGCCTACTTTCACTTCAAAAAAGAGAAAGGACTTCTTGTCTTGGGTGATCGCTGGATATCATGTACAACTGCTAAACCATACATACTCTTTAAAGCCAAAACACAGAAAATCACAGCAAATCAAACTCAGGTAGGAAAAACAAGGAAAATGCAGAATTGTCATTTAAAAAAATTTCCTGGGGTAGTGGTAGAAATTCTGAGGGAATGAATCTAGGATTTAAAGTAATTTGAAAAAGACATCCAGAAAAGAGCTTTTTTGGGTTTTGGGTTTTTTTTTTTTTTGATATTTTACTTTATTTTGATTTCTGCAGTATTTTATTTTATTTTATTTTTTAAACTTTTTTTTAATTGAATTATAGTCGTTTTACAATGTTGTGTCAAATTCCAGTGTAGAGCACAATTTTTCAGTTATATATGAACATACATATATTCATTGTCATATTTTTTTTCGCTGTGAGCTACCAGAAAAGAGTTCTGTAAGCAAACTGACATGAGAAAATCTGGTCCAGAGAAAATGGGAAAATATAGATTAGGAAAGGTCACGTATGATCCTCAAATGAGAATTGTTTCATTGCTTTTTTATTACAATACAATTATATTACAATACAATAAACAATTTCCTGAGCCTCTACTGTGACTACTCAAATGCTGATCTGATGCCCTACAACAAGATACAGAGTTTGTACCAGAATATAACGCAATTCAATGCTTCCTTCATTGATAAAAGTCTTGCTTCCACAAAATATGTTTAACTAAACAGTGTGTTTGGTAAAATACTCCATTTACACCCTGGACCAAGCTCTTATCTTGTTGCAGTTACTAAAGTTTGCAGATCAGCATTTAAAGTAGCACTGAACTGGATGATATATGAGCACAAAGTCTGAAAAATTAGACAGGCATATTGTTAAGTAAAATAATTCAGGTTACAGGAAAGTATGATGCCATTTATGAGAAAACTGTACGTGTGTGGGATGAGTGTGTCTGTGTGTATACAAGGACTTCTGACTAGAAGAATCAATTTCAAAATAATAACTATGGTTATTTTGGGGTAGTAGGATTTCAGGAGATTTTAACTTCTTTTTTATAATTTATTACACTATATTTTTTTATAATGACCATGCATCATTGCCCTCAGTAGATCAGAAACTGTGAGGAATCCCTGATATATGGAAAGCACATGGGAGAAAGCTGAAGAAGGAAATCACAGCCCCAAGTATCCAGTATAGGACTGATACAAAAGTGTTTTCCACTTTTGTATCATGAGGAACAAGTAGCCTGGAGGCATCCAAGAGGGTGATAAGTTGGGCACCCACAGGAAGAACATGTACCTTTACCCACAACTGCTTCCTACTCCCCGCACGTAGCAGTGGCAAGAGCAGTGAGTGCTTTTAGATCAGAGCAGTATGTGTGGAAGCTCAGGTCAGAGGGTTGGGACAGTACCCACAGGTGGCTGGTAATACCCAGGAAGAACAAGGAGCATCCAAACCCAGAAAATCGGCACCTCACCAAAACCACGAGCTAATTCTCTCCAGTGTCACTAATAACTGGCCAGAGTACAAGCTGCCCTACCCCTGACCTCACCTGGCTTTCTAAATTCATAAAGCTGAATGTCTAACAAGGAATCTCAAAATCAAACATGAGCACACAATCAAGAATCATCATTGGTAGGGAGGATGTAGCTCAATGGTAGAGCGCTGGCTTAGCAAGCACGAGGTCTTGAGTTCAATCCCCAGTGCCTCCGTTAAACAAACAAACAAACAAATTTAATAACCTCCCTCACCAAAAAAAAAAAAAAGAATCATCATCAAATGTTTGAAGAAAAGTTATAAAAATGAATTAAAAAAAAGAAATATCAAAGTGAACAAATGGAAAAAAAAAACCCTTATACTCAAAACATTACACAAGCCCAAATTCAGAGACATTCTATAAAATGACTGGCTTAGGATCTTCAAAAGTGTCAAGCCATGCGATACAAAGAAAGATTGGAAGAATTGTGCCAGACTGAAAGGAGCTAAAAGTCATGACAAATAAATGTAGCATGAGATTCTGGATTGAAACCTTTTGCTGCATAGGACATGTGGGGGATAACTGGAAAGGCCTCAATGAGTATTATACAGTAGTAATATATCAATGTTTATCACCCAATTTTGATTGTTGTATTGTAGTTTTTAGGAGAATTTCCTTGTTTTTGCAGAAAATACACACTAACGTGTTTGGGCTGATGAAACATCAGGCCAACAACTTATTCTCAAATACTTCAGAAGCCATAAATTATTCGTACTAAGCTTTTAATTGTCTGTAACTTTGTGGATATTTCAAAATAAAAATACATACCAAAAATCTCAATTACACCCAAAGATAAAGCATTAGCATAGTAAGAACAGTACTTTAGAATAGGTGTACTTAATAATCCCAGAGAGCAACAAAAAAATTTGTGTCCACAAAATAATAAACTAGAGGTCATGGAAATTAAAAAATTGATTGTTGGAATAAAAAAGCCAATAAATGGACTGAATAACAAAATAGGCATTGCTGAATAGCAAATTAGTGAGCTGGAAAATTAACCAAAGCAGTGCTCCCACAATACAATAGGACCAAGAAATGACAGAAATTGCA